TGGTCACCGAGATTCAAATAAGATACCTCTCGGTCACAAAAGGCTCTGATACCATGTCATCAACCAACTGGTTCCATCAACTCGAACCGTTGGGATATGTTCAGTTATGTACCATATGATACTTATATCAACATGTGTTCACTTGGGGTTCACTTATGCTCGTTATTGGTTTATTTGCAAGAAAACGATTAATATTCATGCATGGACCATGTTTCAATAACTTGAGTTATTATAAATAATTGGTTTGTAATATGGTATCAGAGTTGGTTTAATTGTGATTTCACGTGTTTTAAGTTATCACAACACCCTCAATATTTACAGTTGTCTTTAATTTCATGATATGTCAAGTCGGTGCAAATTTCATCCTCATAAATTTACTTTCGTTTAAAAAAACGTATACAAAAATAATTAATATCTAGAACCTCTATCACGAATTATAAAGATACATTATAATTACTTTTTTAATAGATTCTTGGCTTGTTGGTTTGCTAGGAATTTCTGTTTGGTCGATTCATTATTTTTCGTTGTTTGTTATAACTCTCCTGCCCCATTAAATCAAAAGAAAGGGCTTAAAAGCCCAGAAGGCTATCAACGAAAAGCCTGTCCAAGTCGAAGCAACGTGGCCTGTCCAGCCAAGCTCCATGGAGCAGATTAGTGGGCCAATTATTGGGCCACCTAATTAATTCATCTCGGCGAAAGGCCCAATCCTCCGGCCCGCATTGGAAACCCCCAGCTGAAATTCCTTTGTGCTTCTCTTCTTCCTGAACACATCGCAAGCTTTAGCTGCCTCCGCTTCAATTTCCCGACCAGGGTCCGGCAATCCCTCTCGGCCACCGGCGATCAGCATCCAATTCTTTTCTTCTTCCTCTATTCCCATATGTAAAGCTCTCCACCCTCAGCTTCATCCACCTTACTTCTCCTTGATTCTCGTCTGACAAATCCCAAAATAAAACCTCCGTTCCCAGTCGCCGATAACTCCATCGCCACCCGCACCGTCTTCACCCCGCCGGCGTCGGGGTCCACTTCGCCGGAGTCTCAGTTTGAACAAAACCCCTAACCCCTATAACCCTCCAAGCCGTTAACTTTATAGTGAGGAGCTTCATTGTCTAATTTTGCAATAGGGAGTTGAAGGAAAAGTAAAAAGGAATGGGTAGTGAAATTGAAAGTGGTCTGGAAGAGAAATTGACGTCTTTACTGGAGCAGCTGCAGGCCGAATGCGGGATTTTTGAGAGGATTGTTTACAAGAACAAGAACCAGCACAGGAGATGCTCCTATTTCCAGTACCTGCTCAAGGTAAACAGGCTCTCTCTCTCTCTGTTTCGGCTTTTGATTAAGGAAATACAGAGTAGCAACACATGCGACTTGACTCTGACACTGTTAGAAGTTCATAGCCAGGTGTTTTTTTTTTTTGTATCCTTATTAAAGGGGGGGTTGATTTTGTGTTGTTTACTTGGCGGAGATGTTAGGTGAGAAGGGATTTGAGGCTGTTGCAATCTGCTAAACTGGAAGAGCTCGTGGGTTCTTGCTTCCAAGTTATCACAGGCAGGAAACCCAAGCAAAAGATGTATCTGCTAGAGAGGTACTACTTAGTATTTCTTACCACCCATCCGCATAATTGGAGACCCCTTATCTTTGATCTTTTCGGATGATGATTCGGAAATGGAGAAGCTTTTTGAGTACGTCTAGTTTTTTAGTCAGTTGCCAGTCTTGTGATGAACGAACTTAATTTGGTGTTCACTTCTTTTCCTGAGAAGATTATCCAAATAGAAAGCATTGAGCTCTGGGATTTCTTCGTCTGCATATGCAGAAACTGCTCATTTTTCTTCCTCTCGTGTGGTTCGGAAGGTTATCAGTATTATTATCCATACATGGAATCTTAAGAGGTGATCATTATACTATTCTTATAGGATTTTGATAATCGTCTGACCATCTGTTATACCCTTAACAATTTGGCATTCTTTCTTTGTCACAAAAGGGGTAGTGTGATTAAAGCTCGGAGCTGTTTAACTGCATGAATTTGTAAATGATGGTACTATTGCTTAAAATTATCACTAACTGAACCATGTCTCACAGCTTGAAGTGGAGGCAAACTGACTCTGGAGTACCCAATTTTTTGGAGAGACTTCTGGGAGCTGCACGCTTACTGTCACAGGTGATTTGTTGACTTCTTCTTGTGCTGAGATGGACTATATCAAGTTCCATAAGTGCATCACAACTTTTTATGTAATGAGTTCAACTCTGAATCTGATTTACGTATTTTTGTCTGTGTTACAGATGGTTGAGCCAATTTTGAAGGCAGCAACGTATCCTGTTTTGCTAGCTAGGGTATAACTAAGTTTACCATTCTTGACTTATTTTCATGGTTTGATGAATTTACTTGGTTGTTGAAATGGATGCAGAAGCGTCTTGTTTACTGACTCTAATTGGCTGTATTGCTGCACATACCTGTCATTTCACTAATTACTTATCATTAAGTTCTATCTCAAATAGTTGTTTATTGGAGAATGAGCGTCCTTTCGTCTATGGAGATAGCATTAATCTCTTCTAGTATATTGGTATCCTTGACTACTCCACAGGGAGGTATCTATTTTGCTTGCACGCTCTTTCTTCATGGAGTTTTGTTTGGCAGTTTTGGCACTGCTTGCACGCCTTAGAGTTTTGGTTCAGCAGGTAAGTTCTTACTTATTCCATGTCAAGAAATATGATGAGAATCTATAACTTGTTAGGTGACCAATTGGTAAGACAAAATGCTGTTACAAATCTCCTCTATCAATTAACATATTTACTGTTGATTGGTAAAATTTATAATATGGTGCACTTGTTTTGTTTCCTTCTGCAGATATTGCTTGATGTTGTTTCACTGTCCAACACGGTATCTTCGATTGCCCAGAATAAGCAGTCTGTGAAAGTAAATCAGAAAGGAATAGAGGTTGGCTTCCCTGTCTGTGTTTCAGTTACTTCCATGGTAAAATAACAATCGAGCCACTGTCATTTTACTGAAACCTGATTTTCTTCTCCACTTTTCCAGGTCTTTCGAGAGTATTATCCGACAAACAAGGAATTTACCACCCTAGAGTGTGTTTGGAAAGTCGATAAATTTGTGTTACTCGAAAGAGTACAGAAAACTGAGGTAAAAGAAGATGAGGAGACCATCAAAGATGCCAACAACGAAAGAAAAGCTATACGGTATCGAAGTATTAAGGCATTTCTTAGAGGTAAAGCTCCTCATGTGTTTGAGAACATCTAAAAATCACTCATGTAATGAGAAAGTAGGGTATTGGCCGCTTTACATTTAAACTGATTTAATTATGGATCTCTTATTTCAGAGATTAATGATGATGATGATGACGACGTTGAAAAGATGGAAGTCGAGCACCCCGCCAAAGAAGACCCTTCTCTCGTGAAGAAAGACGAGGGCTTGACAGCTGGATCCCCAATTCCGAAAGAGAGTGAGCATCAGGAGCAAGGCGATGGTATTGAAATGGAGGATGACTTTCGAGCAAGTCCTGGAAAAGGAGGCGTTGTGAATGCTACCTCAAGCTCTTCCCCGGCTGCAGAAACATCTACACCAAACTCCAGTAGTTCAAGGCAAGTGGCATTCGTTTCAGTGAAAAGACCTGCTGCACCTCCTACGTCTGCTGCTGGTGCATTCATAGCTGTTAAAAGGCCTGCAACATCGACTTCGAACGTGAACACACCAGCACATTCAAGGGATAGTGGAAAGGAAGCAGATGGCAAGGAGGATTCTCTTTTCAATTTGCTTACTGATGGTGCAAACCTCAAGAGTAGTCTCTTCTGATCCCAATGCCTTGGATTAACTTATTAGTTCATGTGTGTAGAGAGGATTGTGATGTAGGGAAGCAAAATGTTTTGAATGATAGGGAATTGTTCATCCGGAAAGCACTTAATATGTAATGAAATGTAACTTGCCTAGACACTGTTTGTTAGAGCTAGCTTATGACCCATCATGAGGATGTTAAATGTTCTCGTCCTCTTCAAAGAAACCATCTCAATGGGTTGGTTTCCCGCGATTTTGTAGTCACTAGCCATTATGATAAGAAACGAATGTGTGATGTTACAGGATTCTGCTTCTTGTTGATCTGTAACTTGCCTGGTTTCCGGTTCTCTCAAATTCTGTGAATCTCATAAAATGAGGCTGATAGAAAGAAAGTGAAGTCAACAAGTCGAGATCAAGAAGCAATTGGCCATTGGGATGATCCCTGAAACAATGTCATTTGGCTGTGATATTTTAGAGCAAGTGGAATATAGTACATTTTAGGAGGATCGGTTTTGGGTTGGTTTAGGTGAGCTGGTAGTCGAGTTGACTCTCTAACCACAATGTTGAAATATCTCATGAACTTTAAACGAGTTAAATTCAAGAAGTCATTGTGTCGAGCTAGCTCCCGAATCTCGCAAGCTGAGTAAGGTTTAGCTCAACCTCATATCTTTAGTAAGCAAATCGAGTTTTGGACGAACAGCACGACTCATTTAGAGCCCAATTGAGTCATCTGAAGTTTGAAAATGACTACGGCCATGGTATGAGGGGCTATAGCCCTCTCAACTCTCAAAATTGTGTAAATTTACATCTAAATTTTGTAACAAATTTTAAAAATAGATTAGGTTGTAAGGTCTTAACCCCCTCTCTGGTTCAAATCTCTCGAACCTAAATTTTAGTCGTTCAGATTTTTTGCTTCGTCATTGACTTAGGATTATTAGTTAACTCGTTATAGCTCACAAAAGTCTATGTATCACATCACACCAGCTCATGGCAATCTACATGAAGCCCATAATCACCTCATTGTAGTTGCAATCCTTCTTAAAAATAAAATAAGAGTTGTAATCGTAAGCTGTTTAAAATATAGGATTCATTTGATGACCTTACCAAATATTAGGTACGTATGAGTAAATTATCGAACAAGGAAAATGTGTTATCGGGGCCGACCAAGTAAATAACCCGAACTCTAAAACAACTGCACCAATTGCTATCGGGGCCGGCGGCGGTTTCTTCTCGCATTCCTAGGGTTTGTCTTCCTCGATTTCAATCCGATCAACATGCCTTCCTCTTCTCCAATTCTTGTTTTCTGGTCTGGATCTAATTCGTCTTCGAAACGTTATGGTTGCAGGGTTTTTGGGATCAGACGAGCAATGGACGAACAAGGCTCCGATAACATAAAGAAGTGGATTGTGGTGTATCCGGTCTACATGAACTCCAAGAAGACCATCGCCGATGGCAGAAGAATCGGCGCTCTGAAGGCTTGCGAGAATCCTACTTGTATTGAGATTGCTGATTGCTGCAAGCACCTCAGTCTCCGCTGTGCAATAGAGGTTTGTTTGACGAAATTTGCGATCTTTTTGATTTCGGTGTCTCGTTTGGTGAGCGATTTGGGTTTGGGGCTCAGAAATGGTGGTGTCGTTGCAGCTTGATAAAGCGTATCCACGGGATTTCATGCAAAGAGGGAGGGTGAGAGTGTTGCTGAAAAGGGAAGATGGAACGCCCTACAATCCTTCAATTCCTACCAGTAAGTACCAACGAATGGGGTTTTAGTATGTACAGCAATGGTCAATTGTTCATGCAAGTGTTGGATTTGTATGTTTGATAGAGAATTTTTGTTAACAGTTCTAGTTATTAGGATGTCATGGTTTTGACGATCTTAAAGCGCGAGAGGGCTGCACGAAGCGAATTAGTCGCATATAGGCTTGCTGGCTGCTGCTTCATCTCTTTACTAATACCTTCCTTGGCTAGTAGTATCTGTGTGGTCAGTGGGTGAAGTGTCATATGTGTTAGAATGTAAGAGTTTCAGCTTCTGATTATTGTGTTGCTGAGACGAGATGGTTCTTCAACGTATATGAGCCAATTTGCTATCCGGAGATACTGTTAGGACTTGACTGGTCCAAGTTTCATTAACAGTTCATTCAGAACATAGTTTGCAGGCTACTGCTCTATCTGCTATCTGCCCAGGATAATTTTCTGGGCTCATGGCTGAACTGTAGTGCTCTTTCTGATGTTGGTTGTCGTTATATTGCAGGAAAAGAACTAATGCTCCGTGTAGCTGAGTTGGTTCCTCGGCATCCAGGACGAACCAGAAAGCAGGAACCTGCATCTACATCAAGCTCTGGAGCATCCAAGTCTGAAAAGGGTAGAAAGAAGAAGAGGTAGTAGCTGTTACCGACGTCTTCTTTTTGACAGTGTAGGTCATGCTAGAGCTGCAATGAATGTGATGCCTGCAACTGTATCTGAGAAATCAGTTCACTGACACATGTATTTAGTTGTCTCTACAACCATTGAGAGTGTACTTCACAGATACTGAAAGAAACTTCTGAACCACCCTCCGGGTAGAAACCTGGAGTTTATTAGTTTCATTTGAAAATAGATGAAGTTGTCTCCTGCAGCAGGGTTTTCCATTTGCAGTATTACTGTCCAGTTATGCCAATGCTTGAACTTGGTTTATCACATTCATTTTCATTGCTCGAATATTTCATCCACCTAAATTGTGTATTGATTTAGTTACGGAGAATGACATTTGAAACATTTTCGTATTAGTAGGGTAAGGGTTGGTCACGGGGCATATGCTTCTTCTGCATCTTTTCGGTTAGGCCACAATGGCTGAACCACGTTTAATCTCGCATCCTTTTCGATACATACTTCTGCTTGTACAAGAACTGGGAGATGTTTGGACAAAATTATCTCTGGCAAGACCAAATTTTACAAGCTCCGGAATGAGGACAATGAAGTCTCCCATGAAATACTACAATCAAATCGATTTTAAACACAAAGGAGGGAATAGCTATGAACTACACTAATCAGTAGAAAAAGCTCAGGCCTTTTGGGTTGAGAATCCCAGGATGAATTCCTTGACCTCCTCACTAGCTCTATCAAGGGCTGTCCTTCCATCTACATCCTTCACATTGTAACTTGCTCCTGCTCTTAATAGCTCTTCCAGTTTCGGCTTATCGCCCTCAGATGCAGCTAGCATCAACAATATGTCCACTGGATGGATGTTTTGGCTCAACAGTGCTTCCATCTTGTCATAGGTACCTTCAACAGCAAGCATTCCCATGTAGTTGAAGTACTGCAGATTTAGCAGCCACCATGAGTACATAGATTCATAGGTAAACTTTTGCCTTATACGAGACTAACTAATAACTTGACGATTGAGATCAACATAGTCATTCTTCGTCACAAACTATTCACGGTACAGTTTTGAATGCCATGGCACCTAGGTTTCCAAAATGTACTCCCTCCTCAATTCTCATCCTATGCCAAGTATTGAGCATAGGGTGTAGGAAAATGCAGAGGGAACAAAGTCGCAAAAAGAACAAACTTAGGATACTTCCACTTGAGATTGCTGCAACCCTGCCATTCCTGATAGGAAGCAGCCAATCTGCTCCCTGGTATCCTCCTAGCACAATGCCTGCACTGATCCTCAGAAGCGAGACTTCGAATTCGCGCTAAGCTACACGTTATTGACCCACGTATTAATGCCCTCTCCCATCGGATTAAAGACTGTGAAACATGGTTCGTAGTCGATTCACACAAACAACCCCAAACCTAACCTAGGATTCAAGATTTCCTATCCCTCTCCCACGTCCAATTGACCTCTTAACAACCCCAAACAACTCGAAGAATTAGCACTCTAGGCCCCAAGTTATCTCCCAAAACAGAGCTTTCTGCTGCAGTTGAGCTGTCCAACTTTTCCATGGCATACATTCACTGTTGCTCAACACCAGTGGGGAAAGATAGAAATTGGGTACACAAACGAAGTAAAACAGTAACAAACTAAGCAGACAAGCATGTAAAACAGCAATCAAGTTCACTACAAGAGAATCACGAAAGAGGACCTGCTCGACATCGTCTCTGTCAAAGTCGTCACGGGCCTGGCTGCCATAGATCCCAGCTCCTTCAGCATCAACGCCATTCTTGCCGAACTTAAACCAGCACTTCACTCTGGAGCCATTGGAGGGTCCGATACTGCAGGGTCGGACCCAGCTGCCCCGGTTTTGCAAACCCAGAAAGGAAGAAGCAAGCTTTGGAGCAGAGGGCCGAGGATTGGGATGTTTGGAAGAGAATCGGTGGAGGTGGGCGATACTAGTACATGGGATTGAAGCCATTTTTTCTCTGCGGCTCTTTCTTTTCTTGGCGTTCCCGGGGATTCACTTCTTCTCCCTCCTTATCCACTCAAGAACTGGAAAGAATGCGTCATCCCTGGAGAGCAGAGCTGTAAGAAAGTGAAAGGATAGGAATAGGATGTGCTTAAGGTAGATTGCAATGGAATGAATCAATCAGCTGATCCACAATCCAAATCAGCCATTTGTTGGTTGATGATGGGGGAGGATCAAGTGGTTCACAATTATCCAATCAGTGCTTTCATCTCTGAGTTCACGATTTCTATAGGCAGAGCCACATTGGAAGCCGTTCGATATATAAGGATTAAATCACAGCCTCTGATTTATATTTTATTACTTAATTAAAATTGGCTGAATCTATTATATGAGCCATTTTCTTTTTTTTGTTGTTGTGAAAGATATGACTTATGAGTTATGAGCAAGGTTGTCAACTAGCGGGTTGACCCGCAGGTCGACCCAATTTGACCCTGATCCGGTAAGAAAAACGGGTCGCACGGACCCGCCGGGCCGACCGCTACAAGGTACCGGGTTGGAGGTCAAATTGTGTCATTTTTTTCATTGGTTTGCGAAATGCGCCTATTTTCTAATTTTTCTTTTCGCCTAGCTCAATTTTTGGAATGCTAAGTTGAACATTTGAATATTTATGTTATATAAGTGTGTGTGAATTTTCACTATATGTTGGATCTATATACTATATGTTATTTTGGTGTAATATTATATGTTATAACTCATATGTTAGATAAGATTTGATATAATTTATGAGGATAAGTACAATATAACGACTTTTTCCATATTTCCGGGCCAAACCGGACTAAAACGGTTGACCCATTAACCCGTGACCAACTAGCTCGACCGGATCCGGGTCAACCCGTGGGTTGACAACCTTGCTTATGAGCCAATTTCATTACTTAATTATAAGTTTACATTTTCTCTTTCCTTTTCTATATGATCCTTTTTATTTATTTTTAATCAGATAAAAATATAAAATAGAAGTGTATAAACTTGAAATACAAAACATACAAACCATAATAAAAAGTGTACAAACCAATACTGGATAGTATAAAAATCAAAATATAAAAGTGTACGGATCATATCATAAAATATATAAACTAATATTACGAGGTCTACAAATCATATGATACAAATATTCAAACCAATACCACAAACTATACAAATTAGATAATGAAACCGTACAAAAGAGTAATAAAAAGAAATTAATAGAAAGCAAAAAGTAGAAAATTGTAAAATTTTTGTGTTTGAATTTAGACCAAAACTTGAGTCGATAAGATTTAAAATATTTTCTATTTGTAAGAAATTAGTTATTCAAATTACGGATGCTTTGTTTAATAATGAAGAAACTAATGAATTTTGAAAAAATGGCCATAGAATCTGTGACATTCTTCTATTTCTCTTGCCACTTTCTTCAAGGCATGATAAAGTAAACACCGAGGCTGCTAGAATTGGATGAACACATACCGCCATTAATAATGTTTCTTGGCCTTGAGCTTTGCATCAACATTTGACAGTGACTTGAAAGTTGAAAGTGAAGTTAAGCTGGTGATTGTCACCTAAATCCAGTAGAAATTCAAGTTGGCAAAAATTCACATGATGATTTCCATAGTTGGCAAAAGTTCACATGAATACTTACTACAATGACCAGCATGTTGACAAAACCAACATATAAAAGTTTTGTTGTCTGCCTTTCTTTCAGATAAAGAACATGAGGCAAGGAATTCATTCATGTCATGTAAAGGCCTCAACATCTAGCTCACTGACAAGGGCACTTCCCCACCAAGAACCAGTACCACTTCTCTCCATCCAAGAAAGAAACACCAATGAGTCCATCACTAGAGCCAGAGGTGTTTTATGAAGACAAAGCTGCAAAAGATCCGGTAGAAATCGGCACCAAAGGAACTATCAGTTCCCTCATCCTGCAGGAAATCAGGTATCTAAGCCAGCTTCAATCAAGTAGCCGAGGAAGCTCGGAGAAGGGTCAGTCTAGTGGTGCTGGAACGGCTGCTGCTGGTACTAGTCCATCCAGATCCAGCTCTGGATCCGTGGTACAAACAAGAAAGAGGAAAAAGAAAGCAGGCAGCCGGCTACTACCGAGTATATGTTCCATGGTTGATGTATCTGACAAAAATCGACCTGTAGGGGCTTTAGGATTCAACTGTAAGAACCTTGAAACCGACACCAAGAAGTCACAAGCCCTCTAGCTAGACCACACTCTCAGATAGCTTTGAGAAACCAAGCTTCTTGAGTTTGCTGGTTAGAGGGGTGGCCCATGCTCTATCAGGGCTACCACATTTGATGTCCACAACTTCGACTATGTTAATCACCTTCTTGTTGTTCTTCTTCTCCCTGCTAGGAGTTCTGTCCATGGTGAGATTATCTGAACCAAGCATCGGCACTCGATGGCTTCCTTTAGCCTGTTGTTTCGATCTCCTCAATGCCTCGGGGCTTCTGCTGCCACTGGTACTTGCTTCATCCACTGGCTTTTTTGCTTGTAGCCTTCTAGGGGTTGTGGTAACAACATTACATGGAACTGAAAAAGAAGCGGTTCTGATCTTAAGATCTCGAGGACTTGATGTTTGCGGCGAAGATTTGGCGGACTCGAGCTCCCTTGTCATGAGGGCACTGATTGTTCCAGTAGCTCCAACTTTGACGGATCCACCACCACCCTTGATAGCTTCTAGTTTCGGAACCATTTTTTTATGCTTTTGGATCCTCACTCGGGAACGAGAATAAATCTCCCGGGCTGGAATCTAATTCAGCTGGTAATGTACAGCTATCTTCTTGAGTGATTTGAAACCCCACCTGCAACAAGTAGTAAACAATTATTTCAATTCAGTGCACATGTCCCATGCAAGAACTTATCTTCTCCCCAACATTACTCCGTCACTGAAAAAGACATACATAGTGCATTTTGAGTAACTCTGTATCAGCCATCAGGAATTTGACAAGTAAGACACCTAAACGTGGCTGCACAAGCAGCAGCAGATGAACTACTTATGGCTATGGGGAACCCTCAAACAGCTGAACTTGCAAAAGGACCATAAGGTAGCTCCACCTACTGGTCTATCAATATCATCAGACATCAGGTACTAGGAATTAGTTAGAAGGAAGCGTGATTCTTTACCCATTTAATTGTAAGATGATCAGAACAAAAAATGCCCAAAATGGAAAACCCCTTTCTGCAGCAGATCTCCAAAAATTCATCATGATCAGAGAAATGAAAACACCACAAGTCAAAACCCCAAATGATTAGATCTGGAAAAAGGCCATCGGCTTCGCCAATGATCAATAATCATACACGAATTGGCAGCTCGTTCCATTAACAATGACACAATGAATGTACAGCCGACTATAAAGCAACACCATATGCACTGCAGAAACCAAAAAGGAAAACAAGCCTGCAAAAAAAATAGAGAAAAGATAAGATTTTTGTCAAGAGGAAACTTACCCACAAACCAAAATGAACGGCTCGAGCTGCAGAAGATGATCGTAGGTGAATCGGACCCCAAGCAAGCAGAGAAAAGGGAACAAAATCCCACCAAATATCAGAAACCCCGGTTTTCTTCCACGGGAAAATTGTTTAGAAGAAAGACAGAGTTGTTGTTGTTGTTGTTGTTGTTGTTGGAGGTGGACGGTTGATAGGATAGGTAAGAAGAACTTGGGGGAACGTTCGTCACGTGTGGGCAGATAGCAGTGTCACCTTCATGGAAGATATCTGGGTAAAGTAACTGATGATAATAATGCAATGGAAGATTGTTCTGTTCATTCACGCTTTCACTCAAACAAAAAGCTGATTACTTTGTAAAGCTAAACAACCCTATAAAAGAGTGCACTTTTCCGGGCTAGAATACAAAAAACGGATTTGTCTTCTTACTCTCCGAGTCCCACTGTCAATTAGACCGAGAAGAAGAAAAGGACCGGTCAAATTCACGCCTCGCTTAGATTTGTTGATTTCAATAAAAATAAAGACTCGCATGGTTTCTTGTGATCCATAAAGATTAAAGAAACAACTAATCATGCAATAATTCCTCCGTAGACAGAGCACTCGCAAGTCGCAACAACCAAATTGATAAATTGATCGGCTCAGATAGCAGATTCATCCAAATTTACCAGAGAATTAAACAACAATAAATCAAGTACAACAAGCAATTAGAAGAAAGCTGGAGGAGAGGAGGAGGGAGCTTGACGGACAAAAAAGGTTACCCTAGAGGAAGAAGGCATGAAAAATGGCAGGGTAGAAGCTAGGTTCTGAATTTTTATACAGGCGCTTTTCCAGAACTTCAACATTCAAGCCAATAGCAGCAGTTGCCAATGATGATGCTGCTGCCAAAGAGAATCTCTAGAGGATAGTCTTTCTGGTAGAAGGGGAGGTGTAGGAAGTGACCTCCAACGACACTGATCAATAGGCCTGCTGCCATCATCCTTTTGGTCCAAAACCTTTAAGCAGTTGCTGGGAATCGCTCGGCAATGCCGGCTTCATGTAGCAATGATCTCCGTCGAGGGCGTATACTCTGCCATCGATCTTTGCAACTATCGGAGACCGCATAGGGCTAGGCAAAACGAAGAGAATCAGGGAGCTCATTGAGGGTTTCCATTCGGAGGATTGGGGAATTCATAGACTCTGTCACTGGGTTCTAGTTCTACCCCATTCTTCCAAGTAACCCAATTTTCAGAAAGGAAATTATGATCTAATTCTAATCCCACCTGTAGTCTCTTCCGCCGACCATGTATGCTTTGTTGCCGGCAAAGTTGAAGACACCCATTTCGAGTGGGAAACCTTGCTTGAGGTAATCCCAATTGCAAACCAACAGTTTGGCGACAGAAATTCGAACTCGCCGTACTCATCGACCAATTTTTCGAAGACCTGGTTTTCATCGAGAACCCTAAAAGCCTGAATCCCCCAAATCCGACAACTGTCCAACACACCTCTGGTAAAGGTTCTTACCTCTCCAATTCTGATCGTCAATTTTGCTTTTTTTGGGGGGGGGGGGGGGGGGGGGGGGGGGGGGGGGGGGGGGGGGGGGGGGAAACGATTCTGATCTTCAACAACCCTCGGCTCGGTGAAACAATTCTGATCTTCCCTCGGCGGCGCCACCGGCAAATTCTTCCCGTCGGCCGCCCGATTCTTCTTTCGACCTCGGCCGCCCATCCTCTGAGGAATCCAATATTCTCCTTTCCGTATCAGAATTCCATTTCTTTCCATACAAGACACAATAATTAAATAGTTATGTGACCGAAGTAATTGGTAATTAAAAAAAACAAACTGTCAAAATAGTTACGAAAAATATCCAATTGGTCACAAATAGAATAAAAGCTAGTCAATTTATTTATTTTTTACCGACTAAATAAGAATGTCGCAAAATCATTTTTTTTTTTTTGGTAGGAACAAAATCAATTATTTAAAACCAATAAATTTGGTTAGCTACTTCACACCTAATTTAATCATCTTTGAAGTAACCAAATGTATTGGTTATGAAGCTCTTGTCACACCAATTGATTTATGGTTTCCATATGTTCTATTTTGTGACCATTAATTTGGCTCTTAAAAGTGTATTTGAGATCAATTTACTTGTTCGAAAGTAATCATTATATTGTTTTTTTTTTTGAAATGAATCATTATATTGTTAGAAACAACTATTTCGTACATATATTGTGTGGATACTATATAAAGCTGATATGTTACAATAAATGTGATCCCATTGATTTGGTTTAAAAAAATTCGTAATATACCAATTTATTGATAGCATAACAACACTTTACACCGGTCAAAAGCAATAGTTTTCCACGAGCAAGAGCTTGGGCTAGTGCTTAAATCACTAGCTTTGAACTTGAAGGTCCGAATATCAAATCTTTTAAGTAGTAACTAAATCTGTTGTTCTATTCATAAATACTAATAATAAGATACGTAACTCTTTGTCTCCCGCTTGTGCGACTATGGCCATGTTGATAAGAAAAATAACAACCCTAGATTGCAAAACGATAAAGATTACATATATAAAGCCTTCAACAACAACCTGAACCCATTGCATCCCCCTGTGTTGTCGGGTGTTTTGTCATCGAGGTCGATCGCATCCTTTCAAGCCCCCACCCCAAGCTTCCCTAGTTCGCTTCGATGGAGGAATCAAGCGAAATAGGGGTGGCAGCATTGGTTTTGCTGGTTTTGATCAACAAGGCGCACTTGCTTTTGGGTGGGGTAAGTTTTATGAGTCTATTCAAGATCCTTTCATAATGGAACTCTTGGCGCTTCGTGATGCCATGAATTGGTGTCTGACTCGGGGTATTTTATTTGTTAAATTTTTTGGGGACTCCCAATTGGTGATCCGACGAGTGTTGGCTGGGGAGCGGAACCATGCCATGGGAGGAGCTATCTTGGAGGACATTAACCGCAAGGCGAAATCTTTTGAGTTCTGTTAATTTACTTATGCTCATCGCAGCTTCAACAGGGCCGCCCATTTTGTGGCAAAACAAGCCCTTTCATTGGAAGTTCGACTGTTGGTCGACTTCCGCACGATGTTATTTTCTGTCTTCTGACTTTGTGATTGTCTTAACACTCATTTGTCTCTATATTAAAAAAAAAACCGAACCCTTCAAAATTCAAAAGTCAATCACAAGATTAATTCCACATAGTAACATATACTACTACTCAATGTCCAACATACTTTCTAACTCAATTTGGTAAAACTTTAAACATGGAATCTACCACATACAGTTTTGACTAGCACATTTTCGCAGATAATTCAATTATACAAATGCACGCCGGATGACCATTTGAACCCGTCATGTTGGATATTATTCGACCTCTCCGGCGATGGATGGGTATTACCTGACTGGCAGTAGAGTGAGGTGGGGCATGCGTATCTACTTCTTATCCGTTCTGCCTCGCTCCATTTTTTTTTTATACCTATTCTATCTCAAATTTTTATAGTATCTATTCATATGTCTCCTATTTTGACTTTTATTCAACTAGTTAAATTTGATCTTTAAACTAGTTAGACTTAATCACCCATGCTATTATCACTATTTTTCATCGTAAAGTATTTTTCCCTTCTGTTTATCGTAAAAAGTAAAATTTTGCGTGTATATTTCTCAAATAACATGTAAGAGTGGACCGACCCTTCCCGCCCCGTAACCCGCGCGAGTATCACCTGTTCCGACCCATAGTAGCATTTGGCTTTGGTGGAAATTAAAATGAGGTGGAAATTAAATAAGATTTTTTTAATTATCATGTCACTTATTTAATATTAAACTATGAAAGTTGACCGCCACATAAGATAAAAATAACGGAATTGGACGGATAGTGACCAAACTTGAACCATTAAAGTAATTTCAGTGATCATGAATGAAATTAAATATTTTCAGTCATCAAACATGAATATTTTCATCTCCACTCTTTTCCTGTTCCTTCCTGCGGGAAAGTTAATCTGCTAACTTGAAAATTCGTTAGCAGATACTAACTGATATCCAAAATACATGAACTAGTATCCAAGTACTAAAGTATCTAGAGAGCACAAATTAGTATTCAAGGTTTGCTAACTGATATCCACCATGAATAAACTATTATCCTAAATTCACAAACTATTATCCAGATAACACATAAGAGTATCCATACAGCACATAAGAGTATCCAGATAACACATAAGAGTATCCAGATAACACATAAGAGTATCCATATCGAATACTAGTTGGTCGATTGTGGATATTAGTTGGTATATGATATTTGGATACTAGTTTGTGATGTTTTGAATACTATTCTGTGCTATCTAGATACTTTAGTAAAATCAGCAGAATTAAATACTAGTTCATACATTTTAGATATTAGTTAGTATATACTAACAACTTATGCAGTTAGCAGAATAACTAGGCTGTCCTTCCTGGGACTGTGACTCCGCTCTGTCTCTTTCCTTTCCTCTGTTTCTCTCAACAGTTTTTCACAAGAAGCGAGAGATCGTAGCTCGCTTTTCCGTCGCCCTCCTCCCACGGCCCACCTCACCAAATCCAAACTTTAACCTTCCTTCTCACTCCATTCTCCAGTCCCACCTCTCGCTCCTGCATTCCTCTATTTCTCTGCTGTTGCAATCTCTGCGAGTTCCCGCATTTCTTTCTTCCTCCCGTCTCTTCAGCGATTTCCGTTCAGCAATGAGCTCCCAGGGGGCCAAATCTGCCCGAAATGCTAAACCCACAACCCAAACTCCACAATCCAGCTCGAGATCTTCCTCCCTCGCCGCCCACATGGCCATGGTGGAGCTCAAACAGCGAATCCTCACTTCCCTCTCCAAGCTCGCTGACAGGGACACGCATCAGATCGCGCTCGAGGACCTCTACTCAATCAACGATACGCTCTCCCATGAAGCGCTGCCAATGCTCCTCAATTCCCTCTACGACACCTTGTCCGAGCAGTCCACTGCCAAACCCTCCGTCAAGAAAGAGTCCGTGAACTTGCTCGCCCTCGTTTGCCTGTCCCACCGGGAATTGACGCTCCCCCATTTGGCCAAAATAATTACCCACATTGTCAAGAGGCTTAAAGATTCCGATTCGGGGGTCAGGGATGCTTGCCGCGATGCTATTGGTGCTTTGTCCGGGTTGTATCTCAAGGGCGGCGGAGAAGGTGGTGGCGGCGAGGGGAATCATGGCGGCGGCGGGGGGCATGTGGTGGGGTTGTTCGTCAGGCCGCTGTTCGAGGCTATGGGAGAGCAGAACAAAGTCGTGCAGGCGGGCGCTTCTTCTTGTATGGCTAAAATGATTGAGTGCGCTGCTGGCTTGGACAATGCGGGTTCTGGTGGTGCTCCGGTAGCCTCTTTTCAGAAGCTTTGTTCCAGGATTTGTAAGCTGCTCAATGGACAGAATTTCCAGGCCAAAGCAGCTCTGTTGGGTGTTGTGGCCAATTTGTCCCAGGTATGAGCATTGCCATTGTTGAAATTCAAACTGCTGTGTGCTTTGATCTGTTTGGAGCTAAAAGTCAACCAGTTTTGAAGTGCTTCTTGATTTGATAAATTCTCATGTTTGGTTGGTAAGCTTAGAAGTATTTGGGGGCTTTGGTGTTAATGGTTCCCTCAATTCTAAAATTGATGATATCCATTGAAGTTATTTCGATGGTGAATAATGAACGTATAAAACGAGTTCTGGCACATTTAGTAAATGAGTGTTGCTGTGTGGCTTATGTAGTCTCATGATCTGTTGCAATCTGTTGTTTAAAGGGATTGGAAATGAGGAATTTATCATCATGTTCCATAATTTGTTGCAATTTGGTGGATATTTGATTAGTGATCTAGTCGTGTTAAATGTTCTAGGTTAGCACTGAAGCAGAAGGCTGAATCTTGGTTTTAGACTTTGTCATGAAGAACTTATATCCAGATGTGTTCGTATGTTTTAGGTGTCTGCTCAAGTACCCTTTAATAGATTGGAGACGGGGAATAGTCTTTTATCTTTAGATCATAAGTGACAATCTATTCAAAAGTACTTCGAATTTTTTACTAAACGTACAACATAAACATGCAGGGTTATAAATGTTCTTTTCCTCCTAGTGTCCTGTTTCCATCTTAGGAGAGGTTTTGGTTGATCTCATTATTCTATGGTTTTTGGCTTTAAAATTTCATTTGGATCCCTGTTAATGGATATATCATTTCTTTCCATATAAAGATAATTTTTCTTGCATCTTCTCTTCCAACCATGCAACATGAGCACAGAGGTAAACCTGCAAAGTCCTACTACCCCTTTGTCGCCCCCTCTCCCGCCCATTTCGCTCAGGTTGCCCTCAAGCAGCAGATCGTAACTTCTTTGTCTAAACTTGCTGATAATGATACCTATAACATTGCAGCCAAAGACCTTGATTCCCTTGTGCAGAACCTGTGTCTTAGTGATCTTCCGGTACTTCTCAATGCTCTATATTCCAGTTCATCTGACCCTATTAATAAACCTATAGTCAGGCGGGAAACTATCAATTTACTTGCAGTTTGTTGTCAATATCATTTGGAATTAAGATTACCCACTTTGAGTCGAATCGTTACCCATATTGTTAAAATGCTGAAAGATCCAGACCCCAGCATAAGGAAAGCTTGCTGCAGAGCTATTGGGATTTTGTCAGGGTTATACTTGAAACAGGACCGCAGGAGGTAGTCAATAAGGCCAGGGTAAAATTATTCGCTGGACCATTATGTGATGCTTTGAGGGAGCATAATGAAGTTGTACAATCAGGAGCTGCGATGTGTTTGGCAGAGATGGTGGAGTGTGCTGCAACCAATGACACTGTAGGAAGAGAATTTAAGAATCTGTGTCCTAGGATTTATAGAGTGCTGAGTAGTAAGAGTCTTTGAGCCAAGGCTTCTCTTTTGAACACTGTCTCCATCTTCTCACAGGTTTTAACGATGTGATACCAATATATATCTGACATCTAGTGTTCTTTTTGTTTATTTGCAAAGTTGATGAGACGGAGGGAATGAGGGACTGTCTTTTAGGTTGAGGCTGATACGTGTCACATAATTTTTTTGGGAAAGGAATGTGAAAATGATTTTAGTTACTTCCTTAAATATTGTCGTGATCCCCACTTGTATGTTCTTTGTATCATGATCTAGCGAAGTGAAGGGTATGAAACAAAATCAATCAGAATCCATGTTGTTAAATCCCAAAGTTAAGAAGTAAAGTTATTTAATGATGATTATTTTGCATTGTGAGATGAGGCTTGTCCTAGAATATTGATTAGTGAATACTTGACTTTGTGGCCCTACATGAAGTGGGACCAAATCCATACTTCTAAGGAGGAACGAATGATGTGCAGGTGGGGGCAGTTGCCCCACAAAGCTTGGGACCATTGCTGCAGAGTATTCATGACTGCCTTAGCAGTACAGATTGGCCAACACGCAAGGCTGGAGCTGATGCTTTAACTGCCTTAGCAGTCCATTCATGCAGCTTAGTTTCAGCTGAAGTTGCTGATTCTACATTCACGGCACTTGAGGCTTGCCGCTTTGATAAGGCATCTTTTCCTCTCATATTTTGCTCCATGTTATGTATTAACAATTGCTTAAATGTCATTAGCATTTATATCTAGTTACTTCTACTTCTTGTCCTGCTTTCGCTATAGCTGTTTGATGTTCATTTTGTGCGCCTTTTCTGGTTTCTCATGCTTGTGTTATTCAACTCATCTTGTGGGTTTCTGATACTGTGATATCTTCCCTACATTTGCAGCAATGTTTCAGCAACTCATCTCGATGTCTCTGTAGAGAAAATTATGGAGGAATGAATTACAGCAGTATAGATAATATGAATATATACAGTATTGCGACATCAAGGGAATTTAATAGTAGAGTGTTTCAACTTTTTATTGCCTGGAAAAGACTTCAAATGTTAGAGTTGGAAGTTGCAATCTCATAAAAATTGTTTCAATTGGAATTCCTTTCAGTACTCTTTACTTTAACAAATTGGTGGGGACCATATCAGGTCGTGGCAGGATGATTTTGTTTCGGGGGGGGGGGGGGGGAATCAACTTTGGTCGCCCAACTTCACTAGCTATGCTTGAAACCTTAGCTTAGTGATGTTTCTTTTCCCCATGCCCGTTCTTATCTTATCTACTCAATCATTGTGTTACAACGTGCGCTAATTTATCAGCATTGCACTTATTACTGATGTTTGTCAGTAGAAATCTTTGTTTAACCTTTTGGAATGTAATTACAGTAAACTGAAAATCTCTTCTTTCTATCAGATAAAACCTGTTAGAGATAGCATGAATGAGGCATTGCAATTGTGGAAGAAGATTGCCGGGAAAGGAGGCGACGGAGTTTCAGATGACCAAAAAGCTTCCTCTGCAGGTGAATATTTCACATTGTAGTTTTTCCTTGTGCAAATGAACCCAATAATACTCGCCTACTATTCTGGTTGCTTGTTGACAAACATCAAATCCTAATACTGATTAGGTGGTGAAAATCAAGAAAATGCTGAATTTACAGAAAAAGGTCCAAATGCTAGGGACAGAAGGGTAGAGTCCTCTGCGATAGATCCACCTAATGGCTCTCCCCTAGGTACAGGTTCTGCTGCAAAGGCCCAATCTGGAAACATGCCAGATAAGGCAGTTGTAATATTGAAGAAGAGAGCACCTGCTCTGACGGAAAAACCGAACCCAGAATTCTTCAACAAACTAGAAACAAGGGGTGATGATGAGTTGCCTGTTGAAGTTGTTGTTCCTCGTAGGTGCATTAATTCTTCTAATCTAAACAATGAGGAGGAACCAGTATCAAATAATGCAGAACAGAAGGGAAGATCAGATCCCTCAGCAAACAGCAGGTCTGATGAGCCGTATTTCAATAATAGATACCGCACCAATGATAGAGGAATTATGGGGAGAGATCCCAAAAGCCGAGCGTTTGATGATGAACGGAGTGATTACAACAATAGGGGGGAGACAGTCGGAAATCGCGCTGCAGGTCTCTCCAAAACTGATGGACAATCGGAAGGATCCTTGGCAAATAGTAGAGGGAATTGGTTGGCAATTCAGAGGCAGTTACTGCAACTAGAAAGACAACAGACGCATCTTATGCATATGCTTCAGGTATTTATGTTGAACTTTTGACCAAAAGATTATGTTGTCATAGCATCAATTTCGCTGTAACTGCTGCTTTACATTTTCAGGATTTTATGGGTGGATCCCATGATAGCATGGTGACCTTGGAAAACAGAGTTCGAGGTCTTGAGAGAGTTGTGGAAGACATGGCCAGAGATCTGTCTATGTCCTCTGCTGCTAGGAGAGGTGGTACTAACTTTTCCATGGCTTTTGAGGGTTCATCTTCTAATCGATCATTGGGAAAATTCAATGGTTTTTCAGATTATTCTAGTGTGAAGTATAATGGTCGGGCTCCATTTGAGGACAGATTTGTGCAATCTGATGTTAATTCTTCAGCTGCAAGGGGGAGGAATCCTCACTGGAGAGCAGACACATCTGATACTTGGGATTTCCCCTCGTATAATTCTAGAAATGGTCAGGTTGGCTCAAGGAGAGCTCCAGGTGGTGGTGGTTCTCTAGGGTCACCAAAATCTGAGCATGAAAATGATCAAGTTGGCAGCAGCAGGAGAGGTTGGGATAAGGGTGGTGGTGGGCCCTCTCGGCTTGGTGAGGGGCCCTCTGCTAGAAGTGTTTGGCAGGCATCCAAAGATGAAGCTACTTTGAAAGCCATCCGTGTTGCTGGGGAAGACAATGGACCGTTATCACGGACTGCCAGGGTGGCCATTCCTGAATTGACTGCAGAAGCCATGGGAGATGACAACGGTGTTGAGCAAGAGCGGGACCCTGTTTGGACTTCATGGAGTAATGCAATGGACGCCCTTAAAGTTGGTGACATGGATACGGCTTATGCTGAAGTCAATTCCACTGGAGATGATCTGTTGCTTGTGAAGATTATGGACATGACAGGGCCTGTGGTTGACCAACTCACGGATGAAACAGCATGTGATGTCTTTCATGCTATCGCTCAGTTCTTGCTGGATCACAACTTGTTTGACCTCTGTTTCTCTTGGATTCACCAGGTATGTGTACTATGTCATTACTCAAAACTAATAGGAAGCTAAGTCATGAGCTTCATGACTTCCTGATGCACTATAGTTTACATATCTTCAAGCCTCTAATCTTTGAAAATAAGGGAAGAAAGAGATCTCCTAGATCAGGATTTTAGGTGCGGTCTGTTATTGGGTTAACGGTATGACTATTTTGGAAAAACTTTTTGTCACAAGAACGGGAGTTTGTAGTTGGTAAAAGTGGGAGTGGTATTGCGATCATTCAACTAGGTTGCTTATTGCTAGGGGTGCAGAATAGAACGGGTTAACTGGCACCTCAGTTTCTGTCAGACTTGGTATATGTCTGAACGTGAGTTTCTTGATGATAGATTACCATTAACGAGAGCTGTTACACAGTCATTCCTCTTTCAGAATTGCAGTGTTTGTCACAGGTTGAACCACTTAAACCATGTACCCGTGACCAAGCCGCTATGGTCTATCATGAATTTTGCGCTGATTACTATTATATTTTAAACCGTTTGCCTCGCTGGTTTGATCTTTTTGCGGTCTGGTCTCTCTTGCACAGAAACGGCCTTGTTAATTCTGTCGGTTTTGTGCAATTCAGTTGTCATTGAATGAATTACTTTTGATTATTTTGGTTTAACTGGATCTGTGCATGTTCTTTTCAGTTGGTAGACATAGTTATGGAGAATGGAGCAGATGTTATGGGGATTCCCATGGATTTGAAGAGGGAGCTTTTGTTGAACTTACACGAGGCTTCCACAGGAATAGATCTGCCCGAGGAATGGGAAGGCATCGGTCCTGACCAACTTCTGCTGCAGTTAGCAGCAGCTTGGGGCATTGAACTGCAACAGTTTGACAAGTGAAAATCAAACACCACTCCCCTATGGCCTAAGATTGTGAACAAGGATCCAGTGTTGTGCCTGGTTGATTTGCTTGCTTGTTTGTGAGCTTTTGTTGATAGATCGATTGACCGCCCGTGTATCTTTGTAGTTTTCATTCCTTTTCTTTTTGACTGGAGAGTTGAAAGGAAATGAATATATAGCTTCATGATCGTGAATAGCAAAGGATGGGCAGTTGCAAGTTACTACTGACAGTCCAATTAATTCTACCCTTCTGGTTTGCTAAATGTTCCTACTAGCTTAAAAAAAACAAAGTTCGAAAATCAGACAAAATTATGGCCAAGAGGAAATAATGCAATCTATCACCACACCATTGAAGAGCTCATACAAGTTGCAGCTGTTGTTTCACAGAGAGTTCATAAACCCGTACATTTAATCTCATGCATGAATCCAATAACACACGAATCTGTTCCACATTCACAAATCCACATACCTTAAAAATGTTATCAGAGTCGAGCAGCCATGCTTTATATACAACTTTACGAGGTGCATTTTGCGATGACCAATAACATAGGGTAGAAGAGATAGGGCTTAGATCAGGCAAGGCCTATATACAACAGGCACGGTACATAATCCACATCATCCTCAATAACATATGATACAGCTTACTACCCGCGGTGCATCTTGCACTAATGCCGCAAACAAAACGTCCCAGGTCATTTCTGGAACATGGAAGGCCGACGGATAACAAGGCCTCAATGAACCGCTGAATATGATTAACACGTTGGTCACCTGAATGAAGGCTACACATTTCTCCACTTGTCAGGATAAGCACTGGCGGCCACCCAGCCCCCTAATACCCTTGCTTGCAGGTGTAGCTAATTACGACGAAACTGCAGTCTTATCTGAGGACCTCACGACAAACCCACTTGCGGTGGCAACAAAACCTTCAACAAAAACTCTACTTGGCCGCATACCAGTTTTGGGCACACTTCGCATCGACAGAGAGATCCACTTTAAGAACATTCTTGCCCCCGAATGGTTTTGACATGCACTCAACAACGATTGCCTTGGCATCTTCAGCAGAGTCCATGGGTCCTTCCAAGATGACTTCATCATGAACCTGCATTTACAACCTACAGTTACTTTCCAAAAGTTCCTTGCTAAGAAAATCCATGAACAGAGCTAACATGGAGCTGTCACACAGCTCCCTTTGGTGGGATTTCTAGTTCTCAAGTTATAGACTCGAAGGAAATCGATTTCCCCACCCAAATATGAAGTTGGAACCTGTACTCTTCCACCCATCCAACCATGAAAAAAACCACGATGAGGTAAAATGCTAAAGAGAAGATAACAAAACCTGTAACAGTAGTCTCCACCCTAGCTCTTTTAAACGTTCATTTCTCGTGATTTCTAACATGGCACACATGGCAACATCAGCAGCACTACCCTGCACCAGCAATTTCAAAGGAATCGGGATGAAAAGTGAGGGAATATGAAAAGCCAACTAGTCCAGGAAGGGGTATGAGAATGTTCGTGAACCTGCACGGGTGTGTTGATAGCAGCCCTTTCGATATGATTCTTCTGAGCACGACTCATATGCTTCATATTAGGGAAATGACGAGCACGTCCCAGCAGTGTATGAACACATCCTGTTCTATTAGCTTCCTGTTTACGAGCTTCTTGCCATTTAAGAACTTCTTGTCTTTCTCTGTACCATAGATCAACTGTTTCCTTTGCTTCCTCCACAGAGACCTAAGGACATACAACCAAGTAATTAATCACACCAACCAAACATTCCAAGAGCCAAGAACGCCATTAAGTCTTCTGGCAGGTAACTCAAAGCAACTTACCTTCCAATCGCGTGCTAGCCCCACTGGAGTTTTTCCATATGCAATAGAAAAGTTGAGCATCTTAGCTTTCCTTCTTTCTGAAGCAAACCGATCCTATAACAAAATTTCATGCAAGATATTCGTTAACTTAGCATCCAGTTTTGTGAGTTAAGAATGGAAGCCAAGTATGAAGCTAGGTGTTTCAATATATATATATATATATATATATATATGGCAAAGGCTAGCGTACGTCCGGGCGTACGCTAGCCTACCGTACGCCTATTGAGTTTTGCTATTTAGACAAAGAATTAATCGGAGTTTGGGACATGATACTATACCCTAACCCCTAATGGGTGAATCCCAGTCCCCAATTCACTAACCCAAAGCATGAGATTCGTTTAATCTTAAAAATGAAAATCAACGATTCTGATTCGTCGAAATTTTCATTGGTTTTCATTTTAAGATTAAACGAATGAGTTAGAAAATTAGGGACTGGGGTTCACCCATTAGTGGTTTGGGTATAGTATCATGCCCCAAACTCCGATTAATTCATGATCTATATAGCAAAACTCAATGTGGCGCACGCTAGCCTGAACCATATATATATATATTAGCACTATTGAAAGCTGCAACTTGTGATCAAGATAAACGACCATAGCCAAGATTAACGGAGTAAATAACAACTGAAAAATGTTAGGTTCATTCCACGTGCAACAACAAGCATGATGTGGAGCATTCACAACTCAACCTCCAGTGAACTGTTGCCTAACCAGATCCATGAGCATATAGACTAAATGCTTGTCTAAGATGTATAGCCTCAAAAAAAATTTCCTTGGACATTTCTACATGAAATTCATGGGAGACAACTACTTTAAAAAACAGATAAAATTATTCGGTTGCAATACTAACATACTACAATTCTGCTGTATAGAACAAACATCAGCGGAGGAAAAAGCAACCCAGATTCCCTTCTGAATATTAACACTTCCACCAAATTGGCACGCGAACAAACACTAGAAAGCACCAAGTGCTCAAAATACCTTCAGTAAAGGAACTGGTGGTTTTTCTTGGCCCGGTTGAGAGTACCACTCCAGAAGCACTTCCTTCCTTTCAATGGCTTCATGAATATGAGGATACATATTCATTGCAGTCCTTGAGTGGAAATCGCCACCAGCTTCAAAAGCCCTTATCATGCTTTCACAGCTAGCTAGATGCGCAAGAATCCTAAGTTCCAACTGTAAACCAACATTTTGTATCACCACATCTGCCATTAAATTGAGTTCAATTAGAAACTGAAACTACATACCTGTCCATAATCAGCAACAATAAGGGAGTTTCCAGGGGCAGCAATAAATGCTTGACGGATCTTGTACCGGTCCTTTTCCAAAGCTGGCTGATTCTGATGGACAAGAGACCATGATTTCAAAACTCTACTTTTCCCAATACTTATCCAAAGAGATTCATTGAGATAGAGAGAACTTTCACTTGTGCAAGAACAGGAAAATTTACAGGGAAATCAAGAATAAAACACTAGACTATGGTAAAAGGCACAGGCATGAGAGAGAGTACTTGTAAATTTGGCCTCCTTGCAGATAATCTGCCAGTTTCTGTATTGATATTCAGGGAACAATGCACTCGACCATTACTGCCTGATATATTGCTGTCCTGAGGTAGAAAAATGTGACTTTAATTGCAAGACAAGCTATGGAATGCAAAGGATGTCAGAGCAAAATAACAAGAAACTAATACATTGAAGCAAGTCATGGGAGTTAAAATGCTTGTTGCCGGGGAAAATAGAGCAGCAGAAAGAACAAATAGTATGTAAGAGTAGGAAAGGAGTGAAAGATGTTTTTATGCAGTGGTGTATTTGAATTATGTTGCTCCATTTTTGCAAGGAGAAACACAATCAACAATACCACATCAATTTAATCTGAATTCAGAAAAATAGAAAGGAAAAAAGAAAGAAAAAAAAGTGAAGAAGGCCTGCATCAAAGAGTCTCACCTGTAAAGGGAGGATGAAGTTCGATATCAAAGAATCAATGGAGCAAACTTCACATAAAGAAGCAATGGCATGGCATGCCTCTATTCCTTCTTCTCGTGTTGAAAATGCATTTAAGGCTGTTCCATAGGCAGATGTGTCCACATCCACGTTGGGAGTTGAGAGTATACTTGAATCTTCGGTTATATCCTCTGCTTCACCAATAACGTCATCAGATTGTGGGTCAACAAAATCATCCATGAAATAGCTGTCTGCAGAAACCTTCCCAGCCATGGCTTTCAATGCATCACCACTCATAGATGGCCAACCACTAGCCGTGTACATCTCAGTGGGCAGATCATTAGCAACAATTTTATGCAGCTTGATATTACGATTTTTGGTGGCAGTCTTCTTTCCTTCTTCGATCACCTTATCGACGTTTGGAACTTGGAACAATCTTGATTCTGGCAGAGTAATGGAACAGTCCTTCCTACGCCAGAGCAACAAAGTAAAATTGGCTGCATATTTAGCTGCTTAGCCTCATGTAGAAATTACAATAAGTGGGTCCATCGTCCAAGCCTACTCATTTCTTTAAGCATAGCGGATCACTAAACAACGTTTGCAATTCGCCACTAGTCCATCCTTTGCCACTAATTTGAGATTACAAATAATGGGAGGAAGACCCTGGCAATAAATGGTATGAAAGTAAAGGATTTTTTAAGTTCAATGGATGATAGACCTAAGATTTATGTTCCACGAAGGCCACAATAATTCACTAGGAAACTTCAAGCAAACAGTGGTCACAAATAGCAAGGCTCACTACAAGGAAGAAAGCTAATAAAGCCATTCGGACATGACATCAATGACTATAATACCATGGCCTTCTAGTTGGTGAAAAAGATACAGGTCGCTTATAAAGGATCATTGGGTCAAGCACAAGACTTAAACCTAACTAAAATTCATGGCACCCAGAACACTTCCAAATAAAAAGTGCAAACATTTTGCCAATTTCATCTCCCCTTTATATTTATCTATTGTCTTTATTTCCACAATTTATCATTTCATATTTCTAGACTGCTTGTTTAGTTCTTATTTGCATGATAATTTATATTTCCAATAATAGGCTACAAGTTTGCAAAACAATAAATGAGATAAACAGCTCGAGAACTTCAATATGAACAAGGTTCCTTCGAAAAGCAACATAACATTTACCTGTTTGCAGCACCACCAAAAAATAGTTGGCGCAACTGTGTGTCACTCCCGACATTCATATCTTGGGCATCAGGACAATACTTAGAAGCCCAATGTCTGAATCTTTTACCAGCGATTTCTTGTTCTGCTTTGGCAACTTTTTCTATTTCTGCAAGATATGGCCGATCAACCAACATACCTTCAGTTTCCATTTTAACTAGCAGCTCGCCAAATGGACGCCAATATTCCTGGTAAAA